CTTCAAGACTCACTATAAAGTTATTAACACAGTGTGATATTGGTATAAGGGGAAAGACAGATCAAAGGAATAGAATGGATTCCAGAATTGATCCACAGTTAAATTTTTACCAAAGGAGTGAAAAGAACGTTGGCACATTCATGCTATGATCTGAAGTCCAAGGGAATGTCTACAGGGTGATTTATAAATTTATAACCTTTTATGTATATACTTTTTACCACATACAAAAAAAAAAAACACTTGGAGAAATTCAAAGGGCAGGACAGACTATATTCATTAACTTTGGGAATTAAGGATATATTGAGTATGACTTACCAAAAACTTTAAAAGTGGCCTTTACTTGCATCTCTTCTCCACTTCTGCCTGGCACCCAATCAAAACATTTGGAAGCACTGTTCTTTTATAAATTTAGCAGCTTAAATTGAAATGCTTCAAGATTGGCTGAATTTTGTTGGAATGAAGATGGTCTCTACTGAGTTGATGAGAAACATTTAGTTGAATCATTCCAGCACACATGGTGTGTTGGCTGTGACATAGCTCTCGACCAGCATGTAGTTTGCAGTCGGCTTAATCTGTGGCAGTCAGTACTGCAAAATCTTTAGCTTAGCACTTTATAAAAAAACAAATAAAGCAAACAAATAAAAGTGCTTCTGCACGTGCCATGTGCTTGCTTTATATTTGTAACCCTTTTAGCCTTGATCTTGTGCACGCGGCATTGATTTCAGAGTCTTGGCTCCTGCCTTCTCTCCTTGGAGCGTTAAGTCAAGTCCTCTAGGAGTGAGACTAAACATCTATGTCAGGGTTCAATAAGGGCTTTTATACATGCATCATTTGAAATTAGGTGATTGAGTTCCTTGATTTGGAATGTAATAAAATTTTAGGATGGCCATCTTCTCCTTGCAACTGAGGGTTTGAGGTTGAATTTTAAAAAAATTCTCCTTCAAAAAAAAATCCTCCCTCATGGAAACCTAGTATGCCATCCAGCAACCAGTCGTAATGAATTATATTTATGTTATATATGCACTATATATATGCTATATTATATTTGCATGTGTATATATATTTTTATGTTGTAATACATAACATGTATAAATGTATCTAATAACATACATATGTTATATAGAATATATTAAATAGAATATATATGTTCTGTTCTATAGTATAACCGACTATATATGGTCTAAAAATATATAGAATATGTTAGATATATAGAATATATAGAATATATTCTATAGATATTCTATATATTTTATATCTATATAAAATATATAAAATATATAGAATATCTATAGAATATATAGAATATGTTAAAATATATGATGTGTATAAATAAAATGTTATTAGATAATATTTCTACAAAATACGAATATCAATAATATAACATGTATATAAAGTGTTATTAGATCGACCAAGGGAGCGATCCCTGCCATGGACACCTTGGTGTGTGATATGAAAGAAGCTTCTCTCACTTACCAACCGTTCACACTAATGGAAACTACAAAGCATATAAAGGCCTATCGCAGTGGCAGAAATGGTGCTCCACCTCCTTAACAACCATGGAGATTAAAATCCTGGCCCCAAAAGCAGATTGGAGATTTGAAAACCAAATGATACACTTTCTCTCCGTCTTTTCTCTCAAGTCCTTGCAGCCTGTCTGAGAAGTCTGTGGGCAGAGTTCTAGAGCATTGGAGGAAGCAGGACAATCCTAGATGTTACTTAGGCCACTTGGATTATGGGCCCATTGAGCAGGGGACAGAGTCATTTTTCCTTCAGATAATTAGAGAGCATAAATATAATTTATTTCTTGTTTCTAAGGCAGTTAAGGAAGACTAATACTATCTCTATTCTCAGCCTCAACTAGCTCCAGGGAATATAAAAACAAGTTTGATTCCAAGAGTGTGTGCTTTCCTTTGTCACTGCCTGTCCCACTGCTCATGCTGTTAGTGACAACAGTGAGGCAGTGTTTTGCCTGTATGGAGGCCATGTATGGAGGCCATGCCGTTCTCCAATGTCGTGTATATGGGGACTTTGAGCGTTTGAGATCTTTTAACATGCCAGGTATAAGCAAATGGCAACTATTATATGTTTGTTTTCCGCTTTTCTAAGTAAAAAGGAAAATAAATTAGCAAATAGTGTTTACTGATAATGATACGGTAAAATAATACATTAGCTAATATTGTTTACTAATACTATACATTATTATGTAATAATGTTTTCACAGTAATACTGATACCAACATACTCTATTAATAAATCTTGCTAATTGTTTTTATACCTGGCTCTCCTATTTTCCTGATGCAATTTACTTTTTTTTTTTTTTTTTTAATTTCACTCAAGCTAATGTCTGGATTTTGTCATTCATTGTCTGTAGAATGAGTCATTTCTGGAATTCTTTTTTAAAATTTGACCTTTCTTTCTCCTCTTTTTAACACGTTTTTCATCCCTCTACTTTTTTTTTTTTTTTTGGTTCTGTCCTTCAAGTAAGTTTGAGTTTTCTGGTTTGGGACTTATTTTGGGGGGCACGCCATGTAAGGGGCCCCTATAAGATTAGTATTGCCAGGCTGTGAGTCAGAGAAGCCTTTGAAAAAAAGTATTTCTGGCCTGCATGGGTTGGCTTTCCTTGCGTTCCACCCCCCCTCAACCCTGGCTCCAAGGACAGAGAATATTTGAAGGCAAACATTTGAAGATCATGGGCTTTGCTTATCTTTCTAGAAGATCACTTTTACATAATGATCATAGCTAACACTCACATGTTGCTATATATATACACCACACACTGTTCGAAGAGCTTGGTAGCTTGTTCTATTTCCCCAGAAATCCTGAGTGATCACCACCACCACTGATTTTTTTTTTTAATAAAGAGCGTGCATGAGCAGAGAGAGGGCAAGAGGGAGAAAGAGAGCGAGAGTGAGAGTGAGAGTGAGAGAGAGAGAGAGAGAGAGAGAGAGAGAGAGAGAGAGAGAGAATCTCAGTCAGGTTCCATGCTCAGTCCAGAGCCCAACATGGGGCTTGATCTTATGAACCATGAGATCATGACCTGAGCTGAAATCAAGAGTTGGATGCTTAACCGACTGAGCCACCTAGATGCCCCACCACCATCATTTTTAATAAATGAGGAAACTGAGGCACAGAATGTATCAGTAGCTTGCCCACTTAGAATTGGAGGGGAAAACTGCTATCTGACTCCTGAATCTGCACACATAATCATTTTTATCTATTTTTATCTGTTGCATCTCATCGTCTCTGATCTCTGGGAGCTTTGGATCATGGTCTTCTGAGAGCCGTTGCCTCTTCTGTAGGTTTCTTTCTTGCATCACAGCTTGGAAAGTGATGCAGAATTCCCAAGGCCATTACTGAGGCTGGGCTGGGAGAACTGGGAGGAAGGGAAATTATGAAGCCATTTTACTTTTTTTTTTTAACGTTTATTTATTTCTGAGACAGAGAGAGACAGACATGAGTGGGGGAGGGGCAGAGAGAGAGGGAGACACAGAATCAGAAGCAGGCTCCAGGCTCTGAGCTGTCAGCACAGAGCCCGAAGTGGGGCTCGAAATCACAAACCGTGAGATCATGACCTGAGCCAAAGTCGGTTGCTCAACCGACTGAGCCACCCAGGCGCCCCATATGAAGCCGTTTTAAAAGAAACATCAGCCTCAGGCCCCTGGGTGACCCAGTTGGTTAGGCATCCAACTCTTGGTTGCAGCTCAGGTCATGATCTTCTAGTTTGTGGGTTGAAGCCCCGCGCTGGGCTCTGCGCTGACATTGTGGAACCTGTTTGGGATTCTCTCTCTCCCTTTCTCCCTGCCTCTCCCCTGCTTGCTCTGTCTATCAAAATACATACATACATACATACATACATACATACATAAACAAACAAAAAAGAAACACGAGCCTGTTTTCTATACTATTAACTGAGAATAGATGGGAAAATTCAATCTAAACATTCTATGAGACTTTGTAGTGTAGCAATTGTATATATGAGTTTACAGATTCAAATTCTGAACTATATTTTTTAAAAATCAAGCACATGAATCTGTGAGGTTGCATAGTATGCAGAAATCCTGATGGGCATAATTCAATGTACTTGAAGACAGTACTTATCTTGAGAGTTAACGTTTATTATGATGATAATTTACAGTAGAGGTGAGTTTCTGTAAAAGATTCTGAGTGTCTGTTGAGTGTGGTTTTGAACGCATTAGAAACTAGGATATTGTCTGATAAGGGTCATGGGTGGAACTGTTTGTCTCATCTCTGTTTTGATTTCTAACTCAAACATTAGACCCTTCCTATAGCCTTCCAAGTCACAGCAAGTCTATAGTAAACAGTCATTATTTCTACAGATATTCTATAAAGACTATTAATAAAATGCTGTCCAGGGTAACAGAAATGAATATGCTTACTTACATATATATTTGTACCTATGTGTTTGTGTATGTGTCTGCACTGACACACACTCACACACACACACACACACACACACAGACCACTCAAATCCTGTGCAAAGTGCTAATACTCTTAATAGAATTATTTCTAATTATAGATACCATGAATAATAAAAGAAGCACATTGCCCTGTCTTGGTTACTCTAACTTTCATTTGCTGAAAAGCTTTTCTTTAAGTTATCATTTACTGAATGCTTATATACTACACATGTGATTAAGTGCTCTACAAGCAGCCCTGTGATTAAATAGGTATCACTATTCAGTTTTTCAGCTAAGACAGAGGCTCAGAAAGATTTGTGAACTGCCCAGTATGACATAGTTCACCAGAGTGAGAATCTGTGAGAGCCCAGGTCTGTCCCACTGAGGCCCTGGCTTATTCCATAAAACCCACCTTCCTCCTTTCCGTTGACTCACAATTTTTAAGAAGTTTCCTGAGGCCTAGCTGTGTATCTCAATGATCTTTTATAATTCTTCTGTATCCACTTATTTAAAGCTTTCTCACTTCTGTGTCTGTGCTTCTGCTCAGCTCTCCATCTCCATTAATCTTCTCTGTATTTTCCAGCTTTGGAGACATGCTGTCCTTCACCCTGACAGCCTTTGTTGAGCTGATGGACCATGGAATAGTATCCTGGGATACGTTTTCAGTGGCGTTTATTAAGAAGGTAATGCAGATTGTTTTTTCAGGGCTTAAATTACTTTCATAGATATTTTGCTCTGCTTTGAGGATATGTCATAGTTGTTTCTTATAGTTATTTGTGTAAAAGATAGATGTGGTTGTTGAAAATATTATGCATGAGGGGGTCTGGGCACCTAACTTCTATGTGAAGATGACATTGTCTCCCCACCAGGATCATAAGGGTGTGTATGTGAGAACCCACAGTCAAGGGAAATCAAGGAATCACGTTGTTTACACTACAGAAGCAGTCCCTTAGGAGTCCCTGGACAGGATTCAGTTATTAAGACCTAAGTAGAGTTTTATCTATCCTTCATCAACCTTCTCTGCCCTCAATCAGGTATTCAGGGAAGGAGAAAGAGGGAAAGCATATTGATTTCCTGCATACCTGGGTTTGAAGCAGGGATATAAGAGAAGGAGGTGTGCTTCGGTCCATGCTTCTTAAGTCAAGCTCACTTGTAATCATGGTGCAGTAAATGTCTCTGGGATTGATTTCTCCTTCTTTAGGAGGAAGGTAATGAAGGGATGGGCAAGGTGGACTTGGTGTGGGAACAGAGGGCAGAAGAGCCCCCGCCGTTCCCTGAAGGGAAGGGGGGCGCCGTTCCCTTATAAATTTACTTTATAAGTATAGATTTCTGGGAAGGGTTATGTAAAATAAAGAATTTCAGAGAATCTGTGCAAAAGCTGGAAAGTCCAAGCAAAATGCAGAAGAGTCACTTGAATTTTTTAAACCTTGTTATTTTTATCCATGTTGAAATCATGGTAGACTTACAGAAAAATTGCAAAAACAGTACAGAATGTTCCCAAATGCCCTTCATGCAGCTTCCCCTAGGTTAACATTTTACATAATGATGGTACAGTTACCGAACTAGGAAATTAACAGTGGTACTATTACCATTATTTGATTTCACCATTTCTTCTACTAATGTCCTTTATCTGTCTAAGGGCCTGACCCAGGATCCCACATTGCACTTAGCTGTCATGTCTCCTTAGAGTCTTCTGATCTGACAGTTCCTCAGTTTTTCCTGGTCTTTCATGACAGAAAGTTTTGAAGACTACTGGTCAGTTATTTTGTAGAGTGTCCCTTATTTTGGATGTGTTTGGTATTTGATGGTTAAATTAAGGTTATGCACTTTTGGCAGGAATGCCAGAGAAGTAGTGTCATACCTTTCTCACTCAGCACATTGTATCGGGGTACATGGTGTCGACATGTGTTATTAATGGTGGTGTTGACCTTGGTTACATGGTTGAGGTGGTATCTGCTGGGTCCACTCACCGTGAAGTTCTTTTCCTTTTGAAGTTAATCAGTATCTTCTGGGAGATACTGCCTTGAATGAAAGGGCACAGAAAAGCCCCTAGATTGTCAAATGAGGGTGTTGGAATTGGGTGCCCCAGAGATCGAATGCTTACATGATACATATTTATTTCAGACAAGAGCTGATTGGGAACCAGGGCCTTCTCAACAGACCTCTGAATTCTCTTCCCTTATGTAAGGGCATAAAGCCAAAGGAGATGATTAATGGGAACTACTAGAAGAGGAAGCCTCAGTCAGTGGTACGAATTGCTAAAAAGAAAAGAAATGATTGTAGATGAGAAAGCCAAGGAAATGTAAGCAGTGAATGATGAATGTGAAGAACAAATTGCTGTGTTCTGTCTTTCTAGGATAAAAGTTCTAGAGAAGTAAGTTCAAATCTGAAGATACTGGGTTTTGTGGATTTTTCATACTTAACAAAAATGTTAACTCATACTGGATTATGGCAGGCCTTTCTCTCCTACATCCAAATTGCCTTGCTTGTCTGTTGTTAGAGCCTCTTTTGCTCTAAAAACAGTGCTGTTCTGAATGCAAATTCCTTGAGGTTGTATTGTGCTTTCATCCACATTATCTCTTTTGATCTCCAGAAATCCTTTCCAGAACAGAACAGACTGTCTTGCTATTACTGGTCAGGAGGGGAGGATACAATGGCTTGGGGAGGTTAAGTGATGTCATAGGGAGTGGAGTGTCACTGGTCCCATGGTTAAGGGCTTCTTCCCCTCATGCTATACACCTGTGCTTTCAAATGGTGGGAAAAATAGCTTCTGAAGATTGGTTGAACCAGTATCGCCTCTGTTCAGCCCTACCCAACCTCACTGGTAAGAAGTTAAGTGATTTCTTCTGCTCTCCATTCTCCTTGGATCTTGTGTTTGTCCCTGTGCAAACACTTACCACATTTTTGTGAATTCTTTGTTTTTTTTTTTTTACTGGCTTCCAGTAGACCATGAGTCGTAGGAGATTGTAACCACAGCTTTCTGCATGACTTTATCCTCAGGGCCTGGCACCGAGGAAGACCGTAATACCTTTGTGTGAAATGAATGAGTGAAACTTGTTTTGGAAGAATTTTTTTAAAACTCTAGAACTTGAAGAAAAGAAGGAGTATAGTAACACCGTATTTAACTCTGTTTCAAGTAAAAATCAGTTGTGAATGGACAGGGATTTGAAAACTTTTTCGTTAAATGACATGAGAAGTGGTTAGAGAGAATGACAATAATTTAATATTCTAATTACGTAAGAAAATGGTTTTCATTCATTGAAATTAAATTAAAAAGTCTAAGGAAGCAAAGACTAGTGGTCTTGGCAGTTTAAATAAAAAAATTAAATATTTTCTCAAAGGGCAATACATTTAATGGATTTCACATTCTCATTCCTTGCCATTCTCTTTCCTTTGCATTGCTACTTAGATCTCAGTCCCTTATGAGAATCTGAAAAATGGCCATCAGAAAATGACTTTATAATTGATAGTTTTTGTAAGGTTAACTTTTTTTATTCATTAGCTGGATCAAATTCAGCACTTTCACAACCCAGGAATTGTATGCAGGCAACTGTCTTTTAAATGGAGCTTTATCTCAACAAAACTCATCTAGGAAATGCCCTGACAAAAGATGTTTATCTCTGTGGTCCAGACTTGGCTTCCTATTAATGCCAAATTCATACCACTTTGGAGAAATATTTTTTCCCTGCCAGCCCGTCTTCTTCTTTACTATCTGTTTTCTTATGTGTGGATGGAGATTCTCGTTTACAAACTTTGTCTGCAATAAATAACATCATTTCATAAACATTTTGAAAGGTAGAATCCCTTGATGACAAAATATAATGTTGCTTTTTAAAGAGTTGGCTACTTAGGGAGAGGGTAGGAAGTTGTGGAGAAGAAAGAAAGGGAAGCAAAACAAAACAAAAAACTGGAACTTTCTATCTTACCCTTTGGTTTTCCCCTAGCCAAGTATAACATCAGTGCCTTTTCTCAGAAGGGGTGTTTCATACAAATGCTCTTACAGCCTTAGCTCTGCAGGAGGGCCTGGTTCACCCTACATAGTTTTCAGCACCTGGACAGACATCCAGCCAATTCAGTTTAGAGACTCAGTAATTTTTACCTCTTAAAAGACTAGAGAGATTCATGGGCCTGTGCCCAGATAATTTAAAATATGGCAATGGAACTGCAGGCTCTCTGTGGTTCTTTTCAGTTTTGACAGCATGGAAGAATTTTAAGATCTCGCCCTAAGTTATTCTAAGAAGTGTTTATGTGATTTTAATAGTTTATATCTTTGATGCATGCACTGTGATGCCCCTTAGCTTTTTAGAAGCCACGCAAATACTCCTCCGTATTATTTAGGTAACATTTAAAAATGAATGCAAGCATGTGGAGGTAGTATATATAATTATTGCTAACTCTTCTCACCTCTTCTTTCTTACAGTACAGACCTACTTTCACACAGCTGTGCTTTGGCTTAGGGCTGGCTCACCTGTGTGGGCCAAAAGTACAGTAATGGAGCCAGAAGTAATCTAAAGGCAAAGAAAGTCATTGTTTCTTTGGGGGTGGGCAAGAGAAATTAAAAATTTAACCAGAAAATCTTTACTGTTCCGTAACTATACTAAGATCTATAGTTATTTAAAATAGACATAGAGAATAACGCTTGTATTTTGACGAATTTGTACATGCCCTAATAAGGAGCCTGTCTACAGTCATTATGTTTGTTCAGTCAGCCCTGATGCCTTGGTTATTGGTACTTATTAGATGGAAAGATTGGGTCATTTAAATGTCTGGTTAGAACCACTGACAGATAAAGGCAAAAGGTGGCAGTTAGTTTAAAAAAGCCACTAGTATTTTAGTACTACAAAATACTAGTACAAGTATTTTCACGTTCTCAAGCCACAGACTTGTACATAGACTTCTAACGATCTGCATGCCTGCTGTCTGCGAGGCAGGACTCAGCTAAGTGTGTTACACAGAATGCTCCTTTTGTAAGCTGCATTAGGATTGCTGAAATGATAGATTCCATATCTCACAAAAGAGGTGAAGTATAGAAAAGATTAATTTTTAAGAATATTTTGATGAAGGTAAGGGGTTAGTTTTATGGGAGAGAAATTGATAGAAATGGCAAAGGGAAATGGAATATGTATATGGAATTCAAATATGCCTGAATTAGAGCAGAGAACACAAACTCTTGTACAACATTTGAGCAAGCCCCCTGGGGCCATGACGGCCAATAATTTGTAGGAAACTTTAAAAGAAGGTATAGTTTGTATCAGAAAATATTGAGAGTTCTGGTTGGATATTTTGAGAAAGGAAATGTTACCAAAAGGATATTTATGGAAGTAGAGGATAAATGTGTATTAGAGGGGAATCTTGAACATAAAGGAAAGTGAAGATGCAGTCTTAGTAATCCAAGAATGATTGGCCCCTGGGCCGATGTTGTGCATGTACAACTGAATGCGTATCAAAGGGGAGACATCGCAAAATGTGTTTGTAGTGATAGAAAATAGGAGACTGGAATTATAATCACTAATGATTATGGCAAACTTGGAAAAAGGTGATAATTGAGAAAGGAGGATTAAGAAGACAATGAGATTGTTTTTCACACCTTTTAATTTAGGCTTTGTTGGAATATCTACTTGGAGTTGTACTTTTGGATGCCAAGAATAAGCAATTAATGTACTTTATAGTAAATGCCTTTTTATTTTTCTGTCTTTGCTAGACTATAAGGTCCTCGAAATTAAAAAATCATGTGGGTTTTGCTCATTTACCTATTTCCAGATCTTAGGACAGTGTAAGCCTCTTTTATGGCACACAGTCCATACTAGTACTTGAATAAGTGAGACGAGTGTGTGGAAGCTACAAGGTAGGGGGGCAGGTATTGACAGTAGGCTCTCAGGTGGAAGCTTCTCCAGGAAGTCTTAAAGGTACATCCAAATTTACTAAATGGGGGCAAGAAAAGGAGCATGGAAGGTGGAGAGATAGTGCTGAGAAAAATCAGAAGTACTGTCAACAAATTTATTTGTGAGTTCTTTAGCTTTTTTTTTTTTTTAATTGAGTACCAGGAATTATGCTGGGATAATGGAAAATGGTTGAGGTGGTGTTGGTGAAGAAGTAAAGGAACTGACATTCTGTTTAGAGGATGTCTAAGTGAAGTATTAAACCGTGGGCTCAGGATGAGGGTAATTGGATTTTTGTCAGAAAAAGATGGCCTTAGCTTGGTAGATTTGACAGAGTGGAGCAGACTGTGAGGATTAAGGCAAAGGCTTGCCAGGGACAGTAAACACATTGGAGAAGTTTATTAGCCATGAAAGGAGCTGAAGCAGTCTTTTGAGAATCTTAAAATTTTCATACTCTTCCTGTGCTTTATGCTATAAAATAATAGCTTTCTGGAATATAAAGCCATAATATTGCCATACTATACTTCTTCATGTCATCTATTTGCCACCCCTGAGATCCAGATGTATCTGGGGCCAGAGAGGGTATTGGTATCTGTATCCACTACCCTTACTTCCACCAGGGAGTCATTAGCTAGAAACAGTGGAGACGGTAACTGTGGTTGCCATGGGCACCTTTGCGTTTAATCTTGTACAAGGATGGAGAGGGGATGAGGAGAAGGGGTCAATGGGACAGCAGAAAGGAAGAAATTAGTGCCAATGGGGGGAAGCAGCAAGTGTCGATTTGTCATGGAACCAAATTATTTAGCTTTTAAGAAAGTAGTCATTATGTTGATATAATAACAGCCTTTTAGTGTGAGTTGTCAACAGACAGGAATAACTTTTAATGAGACCTCTAAAATAAAACCTTTATGGTACCCATGTGTTTGGGTTACTGTGATCCATTATTCTAACCCTTATTTTACTTCCCTCTTACGTTGTGATTTATTGTGTTTGAGGCCCTAGTGATTCATTCCTTAGGGAATATATTTTAGTGCTTAAGCTATTATTTTAACTTTTAGCACTGCTCATTTAAATGTTCTCCTGTTTGCTAAATTTGAGATGAAAGGAATGTATTTTAACCATAAGGAATTGGAAGAATGGGGGAAAGAGTGTTTCATTGTTGAATAATGAGGAGCGTAGCCAGTGCCTAAGAAGTTGCCAATTGGATTGTGTTGACAAGTGTGATTTGTGTGAATCCCTTAAGAATATAACCAGGGTCATAATATGAACATAAAAATCATGAATCGTGTGGGTGAAGGAGTAGTCTGGGAATGGAAGGAAATGGCTATTAGTATATGTTGAAATTACTGTCTCAAAGAAACACAGGAGTCCTCACAATATATGTGTTGAAATCATCTGCCTCTGAAAGCTAAAACCCAGAAGAAAAATCCCAGAAAAACCAGAAAATAATTCTTTGAAGCTGTCTCCTTTTTAAAGTTGCTTATTATTGAATTATAGAAATAAGATATAAATATTGCTTTGTAATATATAATATGAGCAATCATCGCTGACTTGATGTGTTCCTTACTATCCTGCTATAATTCTAGATACTTTTTATCCTCTGTGTCTGGTGTTTCTTAAGTGAGCTCCTAATTTCCTTAGTTTGCTCCCTTCTGGACTTCTATGCTCTGTTTACTTCAAGTAGTCAATTGTGTCCTTCTTGGATTTTCAGATAGCAAGTTTTGTCAACAAATCGGGCATGGACATCTCAATCCTGCAACGGTCCTTGGCCATTTTGGAGTCAATGGTGCTCAATAGCCATGACCTCTACCAGAAGGTGGCTCAGGAGATCACTATTGGACAACTTATCCCACATCTTCAAGGGTAAGCATACCACTGCCACCCCCTCCATGAGGAGGGGAAATGGTTCTGGTAGACAGCCACCATGGAGCTCTGGGAAACATTTTGGATTGGTTTGATTAAATAGGCAGAAAAGGAATCTTGATTTGACATATAGGCACACCGTGTACCAGACCCATCCCCCATCACACTGAAATGGCACAGTGACTTGCCTGTGGAGTGGAGCGGGGGCGCGGGGTGGGAGGCATGCCTGTTCCCAGTACCTGGCTCTTCATAGGCAGTTTTGATGAATGTGGTAGATACCGGTAGAATTTTACTTTTAACAAGGCCTAATAGGACAATTTGTTCTCTTGAGTTCTCAACAGTATCTTTCCTTAGTTGTTAAAAATAGTGTTTTCTGTGATGAGTATTTTCACAGATAATTGGGAATTTTTAGAGGTAGGCTTCTTTCTTAGGCTCAAGGTGATTACAGTGACCTTCAGTTTTGTATTTTGTAACGTATGTGTTTTATCTCTAGCGGCTTGAGCTCTAAGATGAGGCCCTGAACAGCCTGTAGGCTTTCTCTTCTCTCTACTCTTAGGTAGTTAGTAAGGTTGCCTCTGAGAAGCCCCCCCCCTGTTCAATGCTACTTTATAAATTAACCTATTTGGAGTTGCAGGTGGCAACAAACCCCTGAGGTAGCTTACACAAGACCGGGGGTTTACTGAAAGAATACTGGTACGCTTTCTAGAACCCAGGAATGACTTAAGTAGCTAAGCCTTGACAAGGATAGAAACTATGGCCTCCTCGGAGTCCTCACAACAGGCCGTTTCTCTTGTGTTTTGGTTGGCACTAAAGTGACTTGGCTCCCAGTAACTACCACCCCTGGTCTCTCAGGACACATTTGCCAGTTCTCAAGAGGAAATCTGATTGGCCTTTTGGGGTTGGGAATGCAGGCTGGGGCTGTGAGGGAATGTTCATTAGTTCCCAATATGCCAAAAATGTTACCTGTTATGTTTATAATGTAAACTACCAAAGTGCATTAGATGTTTCTTTCATTTGGAAGGGGGGATGGTGACCAGGATGTAATAAGATTTTAAGTCACACAAGCTATGGATTGTGGTCTCAGGGAAAATGAGCACATGATGATTGTGTGCAAAATGATGATTTTGTGCAAAACCTGTCTAGAAATAATACCAGTTTCACATTTCCCTGAATGTGAAATGCATTATTTCTATAGTCTGTGTCTTTTCTCTGAATCTCGAGGGCATACTTGAGCATTCACGGTACACTTTGCCAAAGTGGAGAGTTTCTTATTTGGCAAGTGCCATGCTGAGGATTTTATATACATGAACTAATTTTATCCTAAAAGCAACACCTTTAAGAACCTGGGTTCTCACCCAGGGTTACAGATGAGGAGATGGTGTTTTGGGGATACCCCATGAACTCTTCCAAGGCTACATTGCCAGCCTGCGGAGCACTGGGCTTTAGATTTCATCCCTCCAAGGGCTGCGTTCTCAACTTTGCTTCTCCCTAAATTATTTCTAAATGTAGCTCTCCGGCTGCTCTTTGTTTGTGCCTTGGGTCCTTCTTGTTTACTCTTTACCATGGAGCTTCCATGAGATTTTTGCTTCATTTGGAATTTGTGACTTCATTTTGGTAAAAAGAAAATTTGTAAATTAAAAAAATAAAAACCTGTTGTTTTTATTATTTAAAAAGTTTTTATTTGAAAATAGATTTTTAGAATATGTAATATCATTGCCATGGAGACAAAAGTGGTATCCTTTATAATAAGTCCAGGAGTGTAGGGACAGGCAAGTCTGGTCCCTATATACTTCATGCAGCAGACGGAAAATCACACACACACACACACACACACACACACACACACACACACACACACGGCCCCGGGTTCATGTTTTAAGCCTAATAGAGAAGGGGAGAGAGCCGGCTGACCACCTATCCCCAGGGAACAGTGTGTTGTCCAGCTAGCAACAGTAGTTGTACCCCCAACTCTCCCCCTGTGTTTCCTGCCTCATGATGATGATTGAAATACATTCTCATTCAGTGACAACTGCATTTTCTAGGCCATGTCTTTCTCTCTTATCTTTTTTTGGGGAGATCACGACCGTTATGATGGTCTGACTCAGAGGTAGCCTGTTCTGACTTTCTGTATTGTTTGTGTCTTTACAGGACAGATCAAGAAATCCAAACCTATACCATTGCAGTGATTAATGCACTTTTCCTGAAGGCTCCTGATGAGAGAAGGCAGGTAGGCTGGATTTCTTTTGTCTTAAGACTGTACCTGGGACTGGCAACTTTTGGGGCAGTGAGTGCCCTTTCCTTCCCATCCTGGGGAGTCCTTGGGCATCCCTGCTGCTCTGCAGCCGTCTGGCCAGCCTGGGCTCGTTCACAGATCCAGTGGGCACTAGTTGGAGGTGCGCGAGCCCTTGTCTGAGGAAGAACACTCGGAAGGCTCTGGAGGCAGTGTCCTTTCATCAAATGAAACCCAACGTAGAAACTCGAAACATAAAGAGATGAAAGTGTTACTGCTGTGGTGGAAGCAGAGGTAGAAGCCTTGAGATCTTCTGTCATGTCGTTGAATGCTTCCTAGGGCAAGGGAGGTATTTCTTCCTGCCTGCAAGCTGTTCTCCTTTCCCCATGGAGGTTTAAGATGGCAAGGACAGGAGGGAGGACACACAGATTGCTGCTACTGGTTGAGATAATTGTTCCTATGTCTGGGGAGCTCTTTGCTCCATGACATTTCTGTTGTCCACACATGCATGTGGCGGGGAGGACTGAGCAACACATTTCCCTTCTTCTGTGCAAACAAAGGAAGGGACCCTTTGATGGACCTATGTAAAACCTGTCCTTTGATACTGTCCTTTGTCTGCGGATCTCTGGTTCTTCTGCAGTGAAGTAAAGGATCATTATAGATGGTGCTGTGGAAGAAGTAGAATTTTGCACGTCTTGGAATATAGCTTGCACCTCAAAATCCATTCCTGTTTTTTCCATCAACATAACATATATTGTGTTACCTTGGTCACAATTCACTTCACTTAAAAATGGGTTGGAAATATGATATGTTTCCACCAATAGCAAGTATAGCGGGAGCTCTGTGACAGTTACCACTAAATTGTTTTAGCAGAACTTAGAAGCTAGCATGCTACTGGACATCATGTCAAGAATTTTAGTTTTTAATTTTATTTTTTTTCATTGCCAAGGATTTTAAACCTCAGTGACTAAATGTGAGGGTTTCTGGTTTTTCATTTAGAATCATTTGCTTATTCCTAGGGGGTTCTGTTTGCACAATGAAGGGAGTGGCTTTGTTGTTTCCTGTGTTTGGTTTGGTGCTGGAGCTGGGGGTTGCCTGCCCTCCCTAAGCCTGTGCTCCAGGCTGGATTTTTAAGGGGAGCGTGGCCGGTGGAATCCTAGGTGGCACTGCCCTCTTAATGTCTAAATATAAATTACTGAGCTCATGATAACCTCCAGCAGCCCAGCGAATGGCCTGACAGCTCTCACATGTGCAGTCCTGACATAGGCATTGGAAAAGCTTGATCCTTCTACTGGCCAGATCAAGGACACCTGGCAAACTGGTAGCTGAGTGTGGAGTGGGGGTCAAGAAGCCTGCTATCTGGTCTGACCTCATGGGCTTCTCCTTTTTCCTGTGGAAGAAGACGTTGGATTTGGGGAAGCAAAAACTCATGCCCACCCTAAGTGCTATGATTTCACTTGGATCCCTAGATCTCAACCTGTGTAAGATGCATACACTTTGCATCTTCCTGGTATGCCAAGAAGTACTGTTAATCTTCTTAATTTGTATCAAATGACCATGGAGAAATAGGGAATCAGTTGCCTATTGTACTGACTCCAGAATAATGACACCAATGAAAATATAATGGAATACCAACATAATGTTAGGTTTGGATTTTGTGAATCAAATTTTATTTTTTGAAAAGTAGGCAATATGAGACTGAGATGACACGGATTGGCAATATATTGCTATAATGATAATAAATCACAAAGGATAGTCTAATAACATTACATAATTTAAGAAAACAGTCCAACTAAGAAAGATAGAGTATGTATAATCAAGCCAAAAATTTAGACTGTAATTTAGTCTTTGAAATAAAAACAGCGACAACATAGAAAATTAATTTTGACTTTATAAATTGTGTTGAATTTAAGGTGAGTCCGTGACTATTGTTTGTCAAGAAAAGGAATATTTAAATTTTTAATTTAAAAAATGTTTTTCAGTGCATTAAGAGAGAGTTGGCTCTAAAAATATAATTTCAAGTACATGACAAAAAAAGTTTGATGTTATTTCCTGAAGGTTAGTGGAGCCTGTAAAGCAGAAGATCATACTAATTGGGGATATCACTTCAGTTCTATTATATATATTGTTATTGGCTTTTCTTGTGAAAAATTAAATGTTCTGTATTTTGGGGGTAAGTAGGAAAATTTACCAAAGCCTGTCATCAATGATAATATTTTGAGAATTTGCCATGTGCCAGGATCAGTGTTCGATGCTTTGTGTCTTATTTCATTGAATTCTCATGTCTTCTGAAAGCCTTATTATTGCCTCTTTACAAATGAGAGTCAGAGGGAGTAAAGAATTTGACCAATTGCTGAGGAGATAAGAGTCACAGCTAGAATCCCAACCTTGACCTTGCTCTTCTCTGCAGAGCATCCCATTGTCAGGGAGGCGTCACCCACAGAATTGTCTCCTGTTTGCCGAGAGAAGAACTCTCTGGAGCCTGAAAGACACAAGCCCATTTTCTCCCTCTAATTAGATTAAAACATAATCTAAACATTTATTTATTGGATTTATAGGAACAGCTTTGTTTGTTTGTTTTAAAGCCTTAGGACATTGGACAGATTCCACTTCAGTGAAAAAATTTTATTTATTTCAACTTCTCCTCCAGACTTTGGGCCAAACACGTTGGTAGGACTCCATTAACTTGGTTTTCCTTACTTTTCAAAATGTTTAAAATGAATTCAGATGGATTTTAAACACCTCTTTTTGCTTTTACTGAGGAAAAATACCACCATGGTCAGATATTTTTACTTGTCAGGCAGACTGGAGCGATATTTTTGTTTTGTGTTCATTGAGTGGGCCTGAGAGAGTGCTGGGTTTAGAGGGGGCTGGGGCAGAACCTCCCGCTTTGCCAAGGCCCCCTGGGGGTTTTTGGGGGTGTGGGAGAAGGTGGTGGTACAGGGGAGGGGGTCTCTTGCTTCCCCATGCCTCCTGGATGTGGGAGATTCTCCCTGTCTCTGCACAGGTGAAGGGAAGGGGTGCTTGTGTGGGGAAGGGGGCTCTTGGGGATGGGAGCAAACGGATCCTTTTCCTTACAACTACATGCCATTATTCATGTTACCATTTTCATGGCATACATGTTGGTGAAGTCCCTTCCAGATTTTTCTATAAATATTTATGGTTTTCATAAGTATTATTTAAACAAAAACCTTTTTAAAACTTAAAAGATTTGGTGAGAAAATCAGAAAATACAGATTCAAAGGAAGAAGTTTGAATGACACCTCTAATTGCATGCCCCAAGAGAGAACTCTTGCAACTGGTCACACTTTGTGTGGCCCCTCTTCCTGCTTTCTTCTAAGCAAAGCCTCTTCTACATACATGATTTTTTTTCACTACATGCACTGGTTATTTTTTTAACTGCTTTTAAAAATGAAACAGGATTTTGTGAACATGTTTCCATGTTAATATACATATATCCATATTTTTTTATTTTTAAATTTTTTTAATGTTTATTTTTGAGAGAGAGAGAGATGGAGTGTGAGCAGGGGAGGGGGCAGAGAGAGAGAGGGAGTCACAGAAACTGAAGCAGGCTCCAGGCTCTGAGTGGTCAGCACAGAGCCCAACGCAGGACTTGAACCCATGAGCTGCAAGATCATGACCCGAGCCAAAGTCGGATGCTTAACTGACTGAGTCACCCAGGGGCCCCCCTACATCCATATTTATATCTATCTATACTTTTATATCATCTTAACGGTATAAAATATTCTCTATGGACTCTCAAGTTTACTCAGTTTTCTTATATTGAACAACAACAACAACAACAACAAATCCGTGTTGGAGACAAGGATTTTTTATTTTCTCCCTGACCAAGTTTCTGTTCCTTACAAGGGTAGTAGAAAACGTTCTTTCATTTCCAATCATTTATTGTCTACTTTCTGCCAGACATAGTGCTCCAGGCATGGAATACAAAGATGAAAAGGACAGTCTCGGTGCCCTTAAGGTGACCATAGGCTTACAGAAAAAGATAAATAATGTCAACAGATAATTACAACAATTGCTGTAGATACTGGAAATAAATTGTCCTTTTTAACTTATTTAAAATTTCATCAATCAATAGGCTAAAATAGAGAATTTTTTTCTTTTTTTGTGTGTGATTAGACAGTAATTTCATTTTTCTAAAAGAGAATAAATTAAAAGAACTGTAGGGTCCTTTGGGTTCTTTGTTTTTCATGTGGTCCAAGAAAAAAAAGTGGACCTTCCTATTTGCATTAGGAAGCAAGTACTGCTTTCTGTGCGTACCATCGAAAGACAGGTTCTTTCCAGGCTGCTCTTTTACTTGTTTCTGTGTGTGTCATTGTCCTTGCTTTTTTATTCTTAAGAGATTGGAAGGTGATTTGAAACACCTCACAGTATTTATGCACTTTTCTCTGCAATGCATTGGGTCAGCAGGGGTGTTAAACGAAAATTGTAACCTCTAACAGAGTCCTCTGAATTTCCATCCCTTCTTCTTTCCTACTTGCTTTCCTTTCTGTGGTGACGATGGCACCATTAGGTTGGTGTAGAGAGCAGTGTTGACATCCTTGATTGTCCTCTGACTGTAAGTCCCCACATTCTGTTTCTGCCCAAGCCTGCTTGCGTGTCCCCCTTGCACTTTCTCCCTGTGTTCTGGGTCCTCCTTGCTTCCTGCAAGTTTATTTTAACCTCGAATGAATTCATGGTTGTGTGTTTGAATCGTAGCTTAGTTTCTTCTCTACTCAGTTAAGAGCAGCAACCCTAAAATCCAGCCCCTCCCTGCCCAAAAAACAACACGCAGGTGTCTTCCTGAATATGAGCAGTATTTTTGTTTTTGAATGTTTGTACCATGGTTGTACCCAGCTTTATAATTTCTCCTTACTATCTGTTTCTCAATATTTAGAAAGAGTGTCCATGAATCATTTCTTTTAATAAAGTCACCTGCAATTCCTCTGTGTTAGCCAGGCAGCCCAAAGCCCAAGGTACAGCTTGTAGAAATGATGCCTAGCAATGCGGAGTGTGGGCTCTAAGAGCTTCGCATTTGCTCAGATATTTGTCCTTCCCTAAAGAGCTGCTCGGTTCACTTGCATAGATTGTTTTCAAGCCCTGGGATAAGTACCACTCCCTCTTTGGTTTTGCATAGATTAAGAAGGTTTAGGTCCTTAAAATGATGGTTCTCTACTATGGGGATCTCCTTGGGGGCAGGCATGTCTCCTAGTGAAACCTCCCTACACATGTATAGTCTAATAAAAGCTGATGAGCCTTTGGAATGGAGAGCCATTGCTCTCCTTTGGAGCATTCACTTCTAATTCAGTACTCAATTTTTCCTGGAAGGTGGAAATTCCTAAAAAAAGGAGAGGAGAAGTTTGTGGGTGCCAGATTTCCTTCCTCTGCTTTTGGACAAAGCTTTGTTATCAAAACAGAACATTCAAAAAGTCCTTTGAATACCACTGCCTGTTGGTGTCTATTCCTTCAGAAGAAATACTGCTGATATACAGTTAGGAAGCACACCCAGGATAAAGTCGTTTGGGGCCATGTTGAAATGGATTTTTCTAACCTGAGGTTTTATGTGGGTGTGTTTTCCTCCAACAGGAGATGGCGAATATTTTGGCTCAGAAGCAGCTTCGTTCCATCATTTTAACAGTGAGTACCTATGTGCCGTGACTTCTTTGTTGGGTGGGAATGGTCTGGTGTGTTCATATATCTCCTCTTTTGGCTTCCATTCGTGGTGTGTTCTGTGACTTGCTTCTGTGAGGAAGCAGTAGGAACTAGAAAGGAAGAAGTGTGGTTTTGGAACTGGAATAAACAAGGCTTTCCCACAGGAATGGCCTCCTGTGATTGTAAGGAGGAGTCTCTGGAACTGCTCTAGAAAGACATTCTAGCAGAAAGGGGTGGAAATCTCTCCCAGTGGTGCAGGTTTATTATAGTTACCATCACTCTAGCTTTACATTTAGGAAATCAGGGGCTCCTTGACTTAAAAAAATCCACTTGTGTGAGCTTATACAGCTTTTAATGAGGAAGCTAGCTGGAAACCTTCTCAGACTGACGGAAGCCCTGTAATTCTGACCATCGTTTTCCTGGGCCCCTTTGCAAGACACAGGCAGGAAAGACATACATGGAATCCACTTGTGAACTGCAATGCAAAAATGACCTGAAATGTCAGTGGAAAAGAAGCCCTACGTGTTACGTTGTGAATGCTTCAAAATAAATCAAATAGCATGATTTCCCGAGGCCTTATCTGCTGCTTGACTTTTAACCAAAGGCTGAAAGAAACATGCATGATTGATTTCCAGCTTACGAAAGAAGCAATTTCTGTTTCTGTGATTTCAAAGAGTTATACAAGCTCACAATTACACACACACACTCTAATATAATGAGTCTTTTGAAAGTTAAAAACCTTTATGCGGGCAAACACAATAAATATTCTAGAATCCAAAGCCAATGGCAATGACTACAGTTTGTCATCAAGTTTGATTTTAAATTTCCTGGCTGACAGGATAAAAAGAAACATATGAGTATAATTTTCATTGTTTAATGAAAGAGGTACCCCAGTTCTTTGGGGATGACACACTTTTCCCCCCCAGGAACTGGAATATGAAATGGGTGTTTGTTGAGTATCCTAGTAGATTCTTGGTCCAAGAATGGTCTGGTAGAGATTGCAGAGGGGGGATTCATGATATGGTTCATCTTTGTCCTGGCTCTCAGTGGAAGTGGAGGCTTCACTACCAGATGTAGTTCAGTGAAGGTGTTTGTGTGAGAGGAGGAGGGTGGAGGGACAAAGGATGAGAAATGTTAAATTAAGGTCTTAGCCCATGGTTGTTACCTGGGTGTGGCAGTGCGGGTTAGAATGCCCAGAATTACAGTGGGTGGAAGTGGCTGTGGCTTCCATGTCTGAAAGATCACTTTGCTTCAGTGGGAAATCTCCTATGAGACTTTGGTGGCTGGAAGGTCAAGGGTGGTATTCTCAGGCAAAAACTTGGAGCACAGATTCTTTTGAGTTGCTAGTAAAAAAAGACGGCTATACACCTTGGATGTGAGGCACATACTATGAAGTAACATTCAGTGCTGAAAATGGAAGGGTATGGGGTCTCATTCCACCTCTCCATCTCACTGACTAGCTTCCCACCCACACAACCCCAATATTTTGGTTCAGTGACTTTTTTCTGTTCCTCATTTTTTCTCTCTGCCTCTCTTCTTTAACTGGCTATTTTGACGTGGTGCTCACAGCTAGGACATGGAGTCCAATGCATGTTGGGTTTGGGGGCACCTAGAGAAAGTTCTTTCAGATGGCAAGACGTGGTTGGCTCTATCACATTCAAAACCACTGATTTGAATAGTCGTTTCACCACAATGACCGGTTGTTTGGTTGTTCGGCATTTTTAAGGCACAACCACCGTCTCTGCTAAAGAAGATACATGTTAGGCCCAAGCATTCAGTCTCCTTTCTGACCCAGCTCTGGTGGGGGCAAAGGCCTCCATATCTAGTCTCCTGCCATTCCTTTTATATCTGTTCCACTTTCACTCTCTTTCTAAGGGGAAGGGTCATTTTATTTTTCATTTAATTGTTAGTAGGCGAGTAAAGTTAAGCACATGCATTCCCTCACTGCATTGTGGTGGTGGTGGTGGTCTCTGGATAGTTTCCACAGTGAATTAACTGCAGGCCTGACAGATACTTTGCTTTTTTGTGTTGCTTCTAAAACTTTTCCACATTTAGAAGTGGGATGACGTGTCAGGGACCATGGTAGGGTAAAATGATGGCAAAATTGCTTACAAGATGTATGCACCATTCACTCCTCTACTGGCCTGCAGGGGATGCTTCTGTTACAGAAATCCAGTCTTCCTTCTCAGCTTATTTCAGGCACACCTTCTTGACTCATATTGTGGCAATGACCAGTGCATTTCTAGTGCCTTCCATTCTTCTCCCTCCCTCACACAGTAGGTCTTTTCCTGGTTTCTGGCCCAAATAGCAGGAATGTTATTGGGCTCTGGAACATAAACAAAAGCTCTGAGATCACCTCCATGCTCCCCTTTCTTCCGAAGGGCGGTTCCACCCACCAGCCCACACTCCCTGTGCCTCCAAATGGAGAATTCTGGGGCTCTACCTGGCATAGTTATGGGGATTAATTGTTTGCTTTTTCTTTTTTAAATTTTTTCTGAACTATCTCTACAGAATGTTATCCGAGCTCAGAGAGCCATCAACAATGAAATGGCACACCAGCTGTATGTGCTACAGGTGCTTACCTTTAACCTTCTAGAAGACAGGATGATGACCAAGATGGACCCCCAGGACCAGGTGAGTGTTCACCTGACAGCAGCAAAAGCACATAAGGGAGAGAAAGTTATTTAAAATCTTTTCTGGGGCTACTCCCAAACCAGGAATTTTTAGGTGATGATAATTGTTTTATTGTCATCTTTTTTTTTTTTTAATTTTTTTTTTCAACGTTTATTTATTTTTGGGACAGAGAGAGACAGAGCATGAACGGGGGAGGGGCAGAGAACGGGGGAGGGACAGAGGGAGACACAGAATCGGAAACAGGCTCCAGGCTCTGAGCCATCAGCCCAGAGCCCGACGCGGGGCTCGAACTCACGGACCGCAAGATCGTGACCTGGCTGAAGTCGGAAGCTTAACCGACTGCGCCACCCAGGCGCCCATGTTTTATTGTCATCTTAGAACTTGGGGGAATGCATCTAAAATTTAGGCAAATTTAGGATCAGAGAATAAAGCAAATGGATTACTTCATTATACATCGAACACATGCATATTCTTCCTTTATTGGATAAGAAAGCCTGATGTCACACAGCCACAGATCTTGGCTTTTGGTCCCAATACCTTCAATGGTAATGGCTCTGGAGTCAAGTTCCCGGACAACCAGGGCCATTTGGTTGCTCTGTGTGATACTGACCCTGCAGATTGAGGAAGTGATTTCCATTCTCCCGTCGTCATTACCGAAGGTGGGGGTCCCAGGTGACACCTGATTTCTGGGCTTGCATTTTTGTTGGTTGGCTGTTTGTTATAATTCTCTCAAGGTCTCTGGTTGTTGTGTGTGAGAGGTTATGTCTCCATCCAGAAGGCTTTTGGGGAACTTTACTGTGTGAGGGCAGAGTGAGAGGAAACAGCTGGGAATCCTGCTGTAGCACATTTTCAACTTAAACAGCGCTGCAGCTTTGGAAAGGAAAACACTCATTATTGGCACGTGAGGGCCTGATATATTGCAGATGTGAACTGCACATGTGAAGTGTGTAACAGCTACGGCACTTCGTTCATGGCACGAGGCCATGCGATTAAGAATGATGGAGAGGCTTTGAGAGGCTGTCCGCCATGCCCTGGACTTTTGGCAAGGCCAAGTGTAATCATCCCAGAGAGATGAGACTGTCATCTTACCACTTCTAGTGATGGAAGGCCATGCATCTTAATGTGGAACAGCCCTCCCTGTTTGGAAATGCTTCCTTTTATTTATTTAAAACATACATTTTTCTCTTATCATGGTAAAATACACATAACAAGAAAGTTAACCATTTTAGCCATTTTGAAGGGTTTGTTTCCATGAAGTCACTTCTTAGTGGAGTCCGGGACCCCTTGTCACTTGAATGATGTTCATAAACCTCTGTGCCTCTCACTTTGTTTCGAACAGTGCGGAAGTCCCAGGTTCTTGAACTTGGCTTGTATGAACCCAAGCCTTCCATAATACTTGGGGCTCCATTTAGAACTTGACTAGGCAATTGACACCAGTATTCCAAGTGACTTGGCCATGAGGATAATCGTGGAAGGTTGCCAGGGCTGACCAGCAGGGAGAGTGGCAGGGGGACTATGCAGAGCCCTAACTTAGAACATTGGTTGTCTTTTATCTGTTTTTCTTTTGCCTGAAAGCAGTGATTCATTTAGACCCTGGGGAAAGAGGGAGTGTATGTAATGTCACACAATGAAAGCAGCTCTTCCCTCCCCCTCCTTTTTTTTTTCTCCCTAACGCCTTCAGGCTCAGAGGGACATCATATTTGAACTTCGAAGAATCGCTTTTGATGCAGAGTCTGAACCTAATAACAGCAGTGGCAGCATGGAGAAACGCAAGTCCATGTACACACGGGATTATAAAAAACTTGGCTTCATTGTAAGTAAGCTGTCTCCAGTAAGTGCTCTCCTTCCAACATCAGGGGCCTGACCCCAGCCACACAACTGATGGCTCCTCCGAGCGTGTGGTCCTCTTGCGCCTCACAGAATAGTTTCCATATTTTCCAGATGTTTAGCTGTTTAAACAGGATCACATGAAAATCTCTTCTGGCTGCAGTGAAGCGGAATAACTTGCACAAGTGTGACTAATACTGAGTTTGTTTATTCGGTTCTGATTAAGTGTAGTTAGCCCGGGATGCATCTAGACTTCATTAAGTCTACTTCACAAGATGCTTAAGGTTCTATTCGAATTAAATGGGCAATGGCAACTGTGGGATGGATCTTATTATTGGGTTAGTGATTGGATTACTTACATACATGGATTTTGTATCAAAGTCAAATTGGGAGGCTCCTGACATGTATTCATGGTCAGATTTATGTGATTTATATTTTCCTAAAAGTTTTGCCTTGCTATGGGCACTTGCTATGGGCTCCTAGATTTTCTTTTTTTTCAGTTTACAGATCAGAACACAGCTTGTCTGGAATATAATCTATTGTTTTTGTTTCAACTTGGATTCCTTTCTTGCCTTTATCATCATTGCATTTCTCCTGTGACTTTGAGCTAATTAATCTCAAATTCTCCGGCTGTAAAATTAGGTCTCCATTTTAGCCTCCATTGTAAATGGCAAAAAATGAGATTTTGGCTTCAAGGATTAGAAATCACCAGGCATTGCTTTATATTTCCGGATACACTCTCCTTTAATACACACGCGCGCACACACACACATGCACAAATATTAATATTTATATGCATCAGTATCCTGCTTTATATGGTATTTGGGAAACCTTGCCTTTCATGGGCATTGTCTTTGCAAATATTTCCACGTGAGTTTACTTGTATTGTTTTTCATTACTGAAGACTTTTTCATTATTTGGATGGACTACACTTTATTTAATCAAACCCTTTTACTGAGCATTTCAATGTTTTGAAATTACCAATAAGTCTACAGTTAACATCTTTGCCGCCCATTAGTTATACACATCCATGATCAAGTTATTAAGATAAATTTGTGGGACTGTCATTTCTTTGGCATATATTTTTAAGGTTGTTGTTATTACCAAATGGCTTTCCTTTCCACAAACACTGAGTCATTTCCACTTTAATCCAATGGATCGGAGTGACTATTTTTTTAAACTTTTCTAATGTTTCCTAAACTAAAAAAAATCTGATAAGTTATTGTTTTCATCGTGATAGTCTTAATATATGTTTTCTAATAAGTATACTTGTCAAACATCATATTGTTGCTTTGCAACTTACTGTACAGAGGTACTGTGACATCATTTTTACCTCATCATATCTCATATTTTTTAATGTATATTTATTCATTTTGTGAGAGAGTGTGCCACTATGGGAGGGGCAGAGAGAAAGGAAGAGAGAGAATCCCAAGCAGGCTCCATGCTGTCAGCACAGAGCCCGACACGGGGCTTAAACCCACAAACCGTGAGATCATGACCTGAGCCGAAATCAAGAGTCAGACGCTCAACTGAGCCACCAGGCTCTCCCATATCTCATATTTTGACTGACACTACATTTGATTTTATAGTTGAATCTATTTTTTAAAATCTTAGCAAAAAGTTTCGTGGCTGAAGGACCACGTGAGATTTCCCTGTACTTGCTGTGTATCGATGGTCAAGGCTTGTAGGTGACCCCAGCCCTGCTCTCATGCATCTGTGCATTGGCAGAGCCTATTTATCAGGGATATGGCTGAGGGAATGTGGATGGGGCTCACGTTCTCTTTCCCCACCCAGTTCTTTACAGGTTTTACTTTTGCATGTTGAACGAGGTCTATCCAAATCACCAGGGAAGCTTTGGAAAATCACCCAATCTCCTACCCTCAAATCATATCAAAATAGCTTGGGAAGAGATCAAGGCATGTGTATTTCAAAGTACCCCCAGCTGATTCTGACATCTTGTCCTGGTGGAGAGCCTGGGTGTAGGGTTTGCCTGAGTTGCTACCGTTTCGTGGTCTTCCTCCACTATTGCCTGGATTTCCAGTGCATTTGAACTATGCAGAAAATACACAACGCTAGTTGTTTCTACATGCTGCCACCCAGGACTCATTGTGTCTCTGCTCCAGGTCCTAGTGGTTTTTGTCAGGGGGAATTTGGATCCCAGAATGCACAGTGTCATTTCTTCTTCTGGCCATGTGTGTGAAGGACAGAGAAGAGAGGGAAGTCAGGGGAAGAACACTTACCAGGACTTGGGTTATTACAGGTTCTTAGGGTTATGACAGATCTCTAGGAAGGGTATATATAATGGGCGTGGGACGTATGAAACATCTCCCTTTTTATTTTCGGGTTCTGGTCCTATGTGAAATAATCAGAGTATTTCATGAGCCAAACTCTGAGTGACTTTTCTCAATGTAGCTCCATCTGTGTTAACATGATATTAATTCCTTCCACAGTTTAGTATTAGAGTATATCTGTCTTAGTTTTCAGTGTCTACTGAATGTTCTGCTTCAAGTACTTTGGGAAAAACAATGTATTTTTTTCACTTAAAATTAATCTGATGTGGTTTTAAGGCTTTAGCTCTTATGTGGCCTCCTTTCAAAGGACTTGAAAAGTCATTTTAGAAAAAGCAGAGACCTGGAACATAGGATAACCAAAAGAGAGTGTTGGTTTCCTTTATTTTTCCATGATTCTTTTTTTGGTTTTCAATTTTAGTCCTTCCCCTGAAACTTCTTCTAGGCCACTATCGTGCATAAGAGAGTTGAGAAATTGGAAAGACGAGTTAGTAATGATTTCTAATGGTGGAAATTTTCCAACAGCTTTGACAAGCAGAGATTTTCAGTTTCGAAGGCCAGTCCGCCAGAAACAGACAAGCCTCAGTAAACGGAATCATGCGCTCATTGCGCCACCTAGAGACCGTCGTGCAAAAATGCTGGTGGGACACAAGTGGCCATAAAATCTCTAGGTGCTGTAAGCTGTCTTGATGCACAATTCTCTCTGTGCTTCTGAAAGAGGAATAGTCTTGCCCATTCCCTTAGTGAACTCCTTACTGCCTCCTCCTTTAGGAGCACTTGAGATTTGGACAATCTTTTGGATCTCTTTGAGGAAGAATTTCAATTCATAAGATGAAGAATGTTGTTTCTCATTTCACATCTCCTAAGGAGGCAATGCCTAGGAAGTGTTAAATGACAAGTTTTTGGAGTTCAGTGGGCCAAGATTTTAATTCCATATTTCCTAATTACAAGCCATTGGACCAGTGGGCCCGTTATTTTCACCTCTTCGGCCATCAGTTTCCTCAACCATGCAGCTACTGTTCTATTTCAAGGTTGTTGGAAGGCCATTAAAGATCATCTGTTAGTGAGTGGCCCAGCACGTGGAACGGAGGATGTGCCCAGCAAATACCACTTCCCTTCCTTGCTTTGTGGAGAGCACATGTCATGGAAATCACAGGCAGCTTGTTCAGTTTTCCAAAGCAGGAAGGGCAGTTGCTCCCACAAGGCAAGCAGAACAGTTGTTAAAGGATAATAAAGCACAACACCTTTGAGAAGGCAGATGGCCTTACATCTCTTCTCAGCACAGCATCCCGACAGAGCAGGTTTTTCTGATGAAATAATTCTGAAATCTCAATTTAAAGTGGCTAAATGGCGTGTATGGTTAGTCATAACACAGAAAAGCATCTGCTTCTAAAACAAAGCTGCTTAATCTTCTAAGATCTCTCAGTTCATGATTCTCTAGTTTCCAAGTAGACATGCCTTTGCACGTCCCTGGGTGGGAGGAGGGTCAGGGTTACTGGAACTAAGAAGGGAAGGGCACCTATATTTCTCAAGGTGATGGAAGGCAGATTCTATTTAGAATGACTTTATTTTGAAAACCGGGGAAATGCCTGCTAACAAACTGTACCTTGTTGGTTATAATGGTCAAGAACTGTGTCAAATGGTATTCATACTCTGTGAAGAGTTGTGTTCCTGGCTAGAAACCCTTCAGATGTTGAATTGGTAGCTTCTCTGCTTAAGATTTTTACCTTTGTCCAGTTTGTGGGACAGTCATTAAAATGGACATATTTGTAGTTCATCTTTCTTTCTTTCTCTTTCTTTCTTTCTTTTGTTCTTTCTTTCTTTCTTTCTTTCTTTCTTTCTTTCTTTCTTTCTTTCTTTCGAGACAGAGAGAGGGTGCATGTGAGTGAGGGGGGAGAGAGAGAGAGACAGACAGACAGACAGAGAAGTGGGGCTCATCTGGGGCTTGTGTTTTACCTGAAGCGGGGCTTGTACTCACCCAATGTGGTACTTGAACTCACAAACTGTGAGATCATGACCTGAGCCAAGGTCAGATGCTTAGTGACTGAGCTACCCAGGCTCCCTGTAGTTCATTTTTCTGATCTCTCTTGAACTAAGGCAGGTGTTGAAGTTGGACAAGGCTGGTTTTTTTTTTTTTTTCTAGGTGCCCCCCCCCCCCTTCTCCCATTCCTTTAGTTTGGAACCAAACTAAACTCATTTTTAAAAGAAACTGTTTCTGAACAATATAATGTGCTTTAATATGAAAAGTTTTGATAAATATTTCCCTTTCCCTTAACATTTTCAGATTGTCTTAAGAGAAAGAAGTGACTAAGATGTAAAAGTGGAAAATGGCGTTGAGAAAAATATTATTTCAGAATTAAGATTCTCTTTTATTTACTAAAAAAATTTTTAATGTTTACTTATTTTGAGAGAGAGACAAGAGCGAGCAGGGGAGGGGCAGAGAGAGAGGAAGACACAGAATCAGAAGCAGGCTCCAGGCTCTGAGCTGTCAGCACAGAGCTGGACGCAGGGTTCGAACTCACAGACCATGAGATCATGACCTGAGCCAGAGTCAAATGCTCAATGGACTGAGCCTCCCAGGTGCCCCAAGATTCTCTTTTAAAATGTAGGTTTGATCACGTTCAGGTTTGCTGAGGCCAGCGCCTCACCTAGAGATGATGGTTGTTGAAAAGATACTGTATTACTCGTTGTTATCAAG